CAAAGCTGCCTTTCTGGGTCAAAGTGACTTAGATTCTCTAAGCAAGAGTGTGATGTTTCATTCTTCCTGATATTTCAATCAGCAAAGCTTCTCATAGGCATGGCTTGGGGGATTTCTTGGGGGTCTTTATGACCTGTTACAGCTGCAGTATAGGAGAAACGTTAACAGTATCTGTTTATCTTCCCAGACTGATGAATAATAGGGAGAGAGTTTAACTTCTTCAGTCCTAGCTAATTTGCACTATCTCATTAGTAATTGCTGTTTGGTTTGGTTTTGTTTTTTCATTTACTTGGGTTGGGTTTTTGCTTTCTGTTTTTTGGTGGTACCTATCTCTAATTCTTCCCATGTTTTTCAACAGCCTTTCAACACAATTTTACATATAATGAGACAGTTTAGACAGCCTGTCACCTCCACATCCCCAAAGCACCCCCTACCCCAGAGCACTCTTGTGCCAGTGTGGGCAGGTTGTTATTCAACACTCGGCTGAGCCTTTATCCTGGGAATTCCCTTTACCTCTTTCTTGAGTTGGATCACCCACTTCTCATATCCTATTTCTTCTTCACTCTTTGTTTACTCCCTCACTTTAGTGGAGAACATCTAGTAGCTTTCTGTAAAAAGGCTTCATGAAAGGCATTTCAGATTTTGTATTCAGAAAATTCCTAATGAAATGCTTTAGAGTAGGCCTTTAAAAAATTCTTTATTTAACTAGGCACCCACAGGGCCCTTTCAAACTGGAAATGCATGTCTCTCAGTTCTGGGAAATTTCCTTGCATTATTCCTTTGATAATTCCCTACCCTCTTCTGATTCTTCTGTTCTCTTTAGGGATATCTGGCCTCTTCCCAGGACCAAACAAGTCCTGGGCAGTTATCTATGAACCTAACCAAGAAACTCCAGGGAGACCAGAATTCTTTCTTTTCTGTTTTGCAAAACTCTTAATTGTATAATTAGTTTAGAAAAACAGAAATATCAGGAAATAAAAGGACTGAAAAGTATAAACATTGAAACAATTCATTGTAAACTCTTCTGACTCATAGCATCTGAGCTGGGCTGTTATTTGCTTTGGTACATTCTGTGAAGAAAGAGTTTTCTAGACAAATTACTTGAGAAGAATGTAGGAAGGAAGGATGTTAAGCTGGTTAAGAGAACAAACTTCTTCTAAGTATTACTTCATTATATTATTTTTACATTATTTTTAACTAGGATTAAAAATATTTTAAAAATGAGTCTTGTCAATTTCATTAAAGGGGACTGAAATCTTACCTATTACATAAAGCTGGCCATCAGAAAATTGGTTCTAATTTTGTATGTAAATGTGTATAAAAGTAAGAAATGAAATTTATTAAATTGAAATAGTTCAGATTTTTAAAATTTACTCAGACCGATGTTTTTCTAATCTACCTAAATGCATTGGTAATAACTTAGGTTAGCTAAATTATCTTCAGTGTTAATTCCAGAATGCAAATGTGGTTCAGTATTAAACTATTGATGTAATTCACCATATCAGTAGGTTAAAAAAATGGAAAAAGCCTGTTATCTTTTCCGTATATGCTGCAAAGCCATATAATAAAATTCACATCTATTCCTGATTTTTTTAATCTTAGTAAAATAAAAAGAGGTGGAAATACATTTCCTTGACATGGTCATCCCTCAAACTAATTCTCAACGTCAATGACGATATATTCCCATTAAAGTCAGAAATAAGACAAGGATTTCACTATCACTATTATAATAGTATTGTTTTAAATGTACCATAAAATGCAAAAAACATAAAAAAAACAAGAGAACATAATGTGACCTAATATTTTTGGAAAGGAAAAAGCACCATTGTCATTATTTGCTCCCCATGTGCTTATGTATATCAGGAAAACTCAAGAGAGTTAATTAATTGAAAATAATTTTAGAAACAGTAAGTGATCTTATCTTAATCTATTTGCAAATCTATAATTCCAAAATTAAATTTTGCTTTATAAAAATAATAACGGAGAAAAATAAGAAAAAATTTTCTATTGGCAATAAAGGGACAAAATATCTAAAAAATAAACCTAACAAGACATGTAAGACCTACAAGAAGAAAACTTACACATTTTACTTAGACACATAAAAGATGACTTGAGTAAATGGAAAGGTATCCCTTACTCTCAATGAAAGGATTCAATATTTATAGACATTTCCCCTGAACTAAGTTATAATCTTATTGTGATGACAAAGTTTTAAAAAAAAAATGGGGGAGGAGTAAAATAAAATGATTCTGAATCTTATCTGGAAGATTGAACATGGACAAATATCCAAGAAGATATGAAAAAGAAAATACCCTACCAGATATTAAAAGATACTAGAAAGCTGCTACAGTGAAAATGGATCTGGAGGTATTGTTGTATTGACACGGAAAGATAAGAGAGAACCAGGTTGCAGGGCAAAATGCATGTATAATGCCATTTGTGCACAAAAAAAAAGTGTGTAGATGTACATTCAGACATATCACACACATATATAACATAGCTATAAAGTTTATATCAGACTTCTAAATATTGGTTACTCTGGAATGTGAGATTGGAAGTTTGGACAGGGAAAAATGGAGAACTTTTCCTTTTACTCTCTACTGTTTTTATGGCTTAATTTAAAAGATTAATTATCCATACCTAATGAGAACCAAAAAAAAAAAAACTAATTAGTAAGTCAAAATCTTTCACAGGAATGATTTCAGTTCAGCACATTCTATGGTTGGCAGAACATTCACTGGTCTTTGATGTATATACATCATAAAAGATTCTGAGTTTGATAGCTTATCTCCTTCTCTGGGACACCCAACATAAATTAGCACTTTAAATTCCTACAGCAAAGAAAACTGGTTAACTTTATTGAACCATTGTTTCCAAACTTATTTGAATTTAATTTTGGCCTCAGCGTCTTTACTTTTATTGCCTTTGTCTCATTGGTACACCTGCTAGACACCAAGGACATATTCAAGAGGAGATGTGGTCCAGAGGGGAGGATGATGAAAGATAACAGAAATGCCATAGTATGTAGTATGATGGAGATACTTTTATCACCAAACATACCATCTAGAGGGAACATAATTTGGGAAGTGCTTGCCAACTCATTACTTTTATTCTATAGCTAGAAGCTTGAAACCCCAAGAAGTCACAAGATTGACTGTATATGCGTATATGATTTGAAGCCCTTTCTTCCACCTCCCTCATATTATTTTCAAAAATATATTAGCTATTAGGGCAAAAAAATCAGATGAGTGTTTACTCGACAAGAGGTCAGGGAGACTGATTGCAAAGGGCCATGAGAGTTGATGGAAATGTGTTATATTTTCATTGGGGCGGCGGCTACCTGGGGGTGTGTGTCAAAACTCATCCAGCTGAAAATCTGTGCGTTTTATTCTACGTAAACTATCCTGCAAGGAAATTTGTTTACATATATATTAACTGAAGAGGTTTAAGATCAGAGCAGCATTGTGGTAAAAAGCACTAGTGTTGGAACCAAACTGCCTAGGTTCATAATCCCAGCCCCACCACCTGCTGTGTGTGACCTCCGTCAAGTTCCTCATTCCCTTTGTGAAATGAGGATAATAACAGGACCTCCTTTGCAGCATTATTGATGAGGATTAAGTGTGTTGATAGGAATAACACATTTAGATCAAAACCTGGCACACTAGTACTGACTAGATGTTAGCTTCTATTTCTAGTCATAATGGTGCGTTCAAGAAAGCTGCTAATTTTTGATCCTTTAAAGGAAAAAAAAAAAAAATGTTGTATGTTCTCCAGCTGGGAGCCTAGATATATGTGTTAAATATGAATGTAGTGTTTCACGCCTCTGGATTGCTGTTACTATTCCTGCTAGCTAAAAAGTATTGAGGCCATTACTGAAAAGAGGACACGGAAAGAAAAGAGAAACCAAAAGGGCTGATTGAAATTGGGGGTGTTGGTGTAGTCTCTGGAGAGTCTACATTAAAGTCTTAGAATAGATGGACCTTAAATGTCTATGAGCCCAGGAACAAATGCAAATTTAAACAAGTGGGAATTTTCAAAGAGGCTTAATAACTTGCCCAGGTCACACAGCTGAAAAGTGACATAGTCAGAGGAAGTGCATTTTGGTTTCATCTATGCCTGAGTGTGCCCTCCTGGGTCTCTTCCCCCAAATAGTGGGAACACAGCCCTTTCTATTTGCTGGGTTGATTCATCTCCAGAAGAGAGGAGAGGTCTGTGAAATTACGAAAAGCTCAACTTCCGAAGCTTCAAAATTTTAATTTCATACTTGTAAGTTCTTTAGAAACAGCAAACTTTTTTTGGAACACCAGGAGGCATGAAAACAAATGCCTTTGGAAATGCACTGTGTTTCCTGTGACATGGTTTTCTAGACAGATCTGGAAAGTTCAGTCAAAGTAGAGCACCTTTGAAAATACCAAAAATCCTATGTTACAAGATGAATCTTCTCCAGGCTCAAAACTATTCTTTCTTTCTTTCTCTTTTTTTGAGAGCATATAAAATAAAAACAGAAATTGCAACACAGCTTCTGTTCTCCAGATGTCAAATCTATTATTTTCATCTCAGCTCCTGCTGGGGGACATAGGGAGAAATTGGCAGGGACCTGCCTTCAGCCTCTTTTAGTCACCAAGGCCCCAGCACAGTGATAGACCCATGGTAGGATGTGCTCAGTGCTTTTTTTTTTTTTTCATGCTAATGACATTTTATTTTATTTTTAATTTTATTTAATTTTTTGGCTGCATTCGGTCTTCATTGCTGTGTGCGGGCTTTCTCTAGTTGCGGCAAGTAGGGGCCACTCTTTGTTGCGGTGCATGGACTTCTCACTGCTGTGGCTTCTCTTGTTGCAGAGCACGGGCTCTAGGCACACGGGCTTCAGTAGTTGTGGCACACGGGCTCAGTAGTTGTGGCTCGAGGGCTCTAGAGCGCAGGCTCAGTAGTTGGGGCGCACGGGCTTAGTTGCTCCGCGGCATGTGGGATCTTCCCAGACCAGGGATCAAACCCGTGTCCCCTGCATTGGCAAGCGGATTCTTAACCACTGCACCACCAGGGAAGTCCCATGCTTAGTGCTTTTGATGAAATATGTGGTTAAAATGTTTTAACCCCTCATCCCACCCTCTCACCTGGCCCAGCAGGCACACAAAAGAATGTAAACATGTATGCACACATACACACAGCATCTAATCAAGTCTTTTGTTAAGACCATTTTTAGGATTGGACACCATCACATGGTTTGGATGATTCACCAAGAGAATTGACAACTCATTCGTGATAATGACTGTGAAAGTTGTGTCCCAGGAGTGCCAACCCAAGAAATTAAGAGACTGGAAGTCTCCCACACTCTCACCCCCAAAACTATCCTCTTGGGCTGTGATTTCCACAGCCATCCACCTACTTGGTTTCAGCTAAAGACATTGGGGATATAGCAATTTCTCTGTCCCAGTAGGAGTTAAGATGCAACAAAACATTTACAGAACTAATCCTGATAATCTGGTTCCCTGGGGAAGAAAGGAGAGATAGGATATCCTCACTTTCATTCCCCTCCCACGGCTTTGGGCTGCTGAGCCTCTCTGGGAATCCAAAATAGTGTTGCTTCTAGACCAGCTACATTCTCCAAACCCAGGGTGTCAGGCAGGGGGATGTGGGGTGGAGTGATGATTCATTCCAAAGGAAAGGAAGATGCCTGCATTTTTTAAACCGTTGCCCTGTTTTTCCTCTGAAGTTCCTTCTCTGTTCAGTTGCTTGAAAGAATGGGCTTCCTTGTTCAGGCACTGCCATGTGGATAAAGATGTACCCTCTGGTTCCAAAAAACTCCCTCCTTGCCCCACAAGTTTGCCAGCCTTCAGCAGGAGTTCCCAAATTTGCATATGATCCAGAGTCACTTATAGACCAAGACCAAAGACCCTGAATTCGGGAATGGAAGAAACAAACTCCAAGAAGCACAGATGTTTTTAACGAAGTGGCCTTCACCTCAGGCTGATATGCCCACAACCCCGTACCTGAGCTGGTCGGGTGACCAGTTCAGGGAGGAACTGGAAAGCTGGTGGTGGAAGGGAGGTCCCAAGTGCCACCAGATTACTGTTGTCACTTGCTAGCTGTTCTGGCTTCAGTCATTCTACCTTCCTTCATGTTCCCAGCTTCCCCCAGAGTGATGTTTCTAAAGCACAAGTGTGCTCCCATCACTCCCGAGTCACACACTGTTCTGTGGCTCCCTGTTGCTTACAGCTTTGTTTCTGAGATGTTGTTCTGCTTCTCGCCTTCTCCTGCACCACTCACCCCCAGAACACCTGACATGACGCTCCATGATGTTAAGGTTCAGGGTCTAAAGAGGGCGCCAACGCTTTATTTGAGAACCACTGAATTTTTATGGTGCCGACTCCTTTGTGTGGCATTCAAGGCCCACGTCAATCCAGCCCACATGGCCAGTCCCATCTCCACACACTTCCTGCATCGCATCCTCTGCAATAACTACATCAGCATCCATATCGTGCTGATATGCAAACTCATATGCCTGTAGGAACCCAGGCGTGACTTAAAAAGGAAAGGGGTCAAGTGTAAGAAAAATGGGAAATGGGGGAACTCTGGCAACCTGAAGAGCTCATGTTCCAGCTTCATCCTCTTCATCCAATTGCTGGGCATCAGGTCTTAGAAGTTTTGTTTTTTTTCAGTACAATTCTTTTTTTTTTTTACTACGGTATAATTGACACTAACATTGTATTAGTTTCAGGTGCACAACATAATGATTTGACATTTGCATAGGTCTTAGAGTTTTGAAAATCTTTTCATTCATCTGCTCATCAAACTTGCTCCACACCTGTTTCAAAATATTTGCACTTCTCTCATGGCACTTGTTCCCATCTCGTACTTTGAATTGCAGTTATTTGTGTACATTTCTTACCTATTTTCTAGATTGTGCATCTGAAAGGGACTATGACCAGAAGGTCACTTCCTTCTTTTCAGAAGCTCTGAAAGCATCCCCTCTTCTTTTTCCTCCTTTTTTCTCTTTCACTTTTTGGCAGGCCTGACTAGCGAAGCCATTCCCGGGGCACGGACGTCTCTTGTCCTCATTGCCCTTTTCGGAAGAGACATACACATTCTTCCACTTCTTCTTTTTCAGCCTTTTTAAGTCCCCAAAACTCAGCCTACTTGTGATTATAATGAGCCTCAGCTGTGGAAAGGGGAACCGGGCTGGCAGGTGGCGGTGGTGAGTGCGGGCGAGATTCTGCAGACCCAGAATTTAGTTCGCTCTGCACTGAATTTTTTCAAAGTCTACTTTTCTACTGTCCTCTGCTCTGGAGTTTCTTCTCTTCCTGGTAGGGTGATCAGGAACATAGAGATCTGCTGTCAGAACCAGCTTGAAAATAAAGATCAAAAAAAAAAAAAAAAAGAAAAGAAAGATCAATTAATTCCTCACTGCCACTGTGATGTGTGTAAAAGGAACAGTTGAAAGAGACATGACCTCAGCTCATTACTTCTGCCCCACAGGCGGCAAACAGCCGCAAGCGTGAGTAACAAGCCAGGTGAACAAGGGAGAAAAGTCTGTAGTGAGCTCATCTCCCAACAGCTACTCATTATTCTAATTATTCCGAGGACTGCAGCCACTTCTCAACGTGAGACCACAGGTCCTCCTGCTTCAGAACTTCCTGGGGTGATTGTTCACACTTTGCCTCCTGAACCTCTCCAGCCTAAGGACCAGGATTTCTGGAGGAGGCGCTATGAATCTGCAGCTTTAACAGGCTCCCCAGGTGATGCTCATGCTGTCCTGGTCCGAGACCCGCTGAATTACACACCCCTGCCCTCGAGGTGTCTCAGTACGTCTTCCACACTCCACCTCCAGCAGAGCACAAGGACCAAGAACATGGCTTGAGGTCAGACCCTGGCTTGGCCACATACTGGTAAGAAAGAAACTTCACCTCTCTGCCCCAGCATCTTCTTTGATAAAATAGAGTGATAATGACTGTACTTATTGCTTAGGATTGTTTTAAGAATTATATAAGTGAATGCTTATAAAGTGCCAGGTTCCTGGCTCAGTAAATGGTAGCTCTCATTTCCCAATCCAGGGTTTCCCAAACATCAGTCATTCACAGGCCATCGTTGCAATTTTTGCCATACTTGCATAGGCCTCTACTAGAATTCACTTAATATTTTTTACTAAATAACACGCCTGTTTTACTTAGCGTCATCCTAAGAAATAATACCTGGAAAATAATTGACTTGATGTACTATTATATTTTTTTACACATTAAAATTAGTACATAGTCATGGAAAATTTAAAGCGTTGATTTTAGTTACCACCGTGGTAAGTCTACGGCCAGCAGGAAGCACTGATTGAATTCAACTTCAGTTCAGGAAACTGAGACTCAGGTTAAGTGGATTTTCCAAGGTCATACAGTGAGCTGTGGGCAAAGCCAGAACTAGAGGAATTCAGGTCTCCTTCTAACTAGGGCAGTGCTCCTTCCTCCACATCAGTCTGCTGGTTCTAGAGTGTTCTTAAAAGACACATTGAAATGTATTGAAAAGAGAACATTCCTTCGTGCCTCTGATGTTAGTAAACAGAAAGAACCCTTACACATTAAATTGACTACAAAGGAACGCTCACTTTAGCCTTAAGCAGAAGAAGACATTGAAAGACATTTCATCCCTAACAGGCCCTAAGCGGGGCGCTGGATAACAACACACAGGACAGGTGAGGCTGAGAACTGAGCCCCCTGAGAAGCTAAGCTGCAGGACTGATTCTGTTCAGCTGGGACTCCTGGTAATGCTGCAGACAGGCCTCTACCTGTGTAGGGACAGCTGAGGGCAGGTTCTAACCACCCCCTCACAAGCTCGACTTCAGGTAAGTTACTTAACCTTTCTGAACATCAGCCTCCTTGTCTGTAACATTCTCATAGGGTTGTTGGAAAAGTTAAGTACCGTCTAGAGAAAATGTTTAGTACAGCTGGGGTGGGGTGGTTTTCTTCTACTTAACTGTGTGATTTTAGAGATTGAATGATCATATGCAAGGAAATACAATTAGCTTTGAAGCCAGAGCTTAAAAGGAATAAGGCAGGGGCTTCCCTGGTGGCGCAGTGGTTGAGAGTCCACCTGCCGATGCAGGGGACACGGGTTCATGTCCCGGTCGGGGAAGATCCCGTGTGCCGCGGAGCGGCTGGGCCCGTGAGCCATGGCCGCTGAGCCTGCGCATCCGGAGCCTGTGCTCCGCAACGGGAGAGGCCACAACAGTGAGAGGCCCGCGTACCGCAAAAAAAAAAAAAGGAATAAGGCATAGAAAACCTGCCACATTGAGGGGTTAGAACTTTAATGTCCTTCCTAATCAATTGAGTTCATAATTCTATGTATCTTTAATACAAAATGCAATTACTTCCCCAAAGTCAGGTGTTCAGGAAGTACAATTAAGCACCACGTTAGGCTAATTGGTAGTTCTTTACAGGGGTTCATGTTGAAGTACAGTGGGTCTCTGATTTTCTTTGAGAAACCATTCATTCCCTACTTGCAGTTGATCCATAGATGGATACATGACCCAAGCCTGGCCAGTCAGCAATTTCTAACATCTAGACATAGACATGTAAGTCCATCCAGCCAGAGTCAGTCCTGGATCTTTTGATGGAACTTAAGGAATCAAGAATCACTCTTTCTGCTAGATGTAGGCCAGGAGTTGCTGACAGTCATCTTACCACCCTGAGAGAAGACCTTCCTGAAGATGAAGCTATCACAGAGGGAAGGAGAGCAGAGAGATGGAGATAGATCAAGAGTCAATGAGCTGGTTTGAGCTCCTAGATCCAGCCATACCTGAATGTAATATATGCTTGCACTTACAGGCAATATCACTGGTTTGCAAAAATACAGGGAAGCCTAACCAACAGATTGTTCTCCCAAATTATTGCTATGACAAGCAAAGAGAAGAGATAAATCTCAAGGGACTCGATCTTCATATCTTACGGCAATCCAGCTTAGAGAGAGGTTTCCTCTCAAGTACTATGCATATGCCCTGCTACCTGAGACTCTATACTGTACCCTCTTCTACCAAGCTACTCCCATCTAAGAAGAGCTTAACTCCATAACCTTGGGAGCCACCACAGTCAAGATAATGAACACATCCATCACTCCCCAAAACTTCCCCGTGCCCCTTTATAATCCTTCCTTTAACCCCTCTTGCCTCCACCATGTAACCCCTAATCTGCTTTCTGTTGCTGTAGATTAGTTTGCATTTTCTGGAAAGTTATGTAAATGGAATCTTACAAACATGTACTCTTTTTGTCTGGCTTCTTTCAGTATAATTATTTTGAAATTCATCTGTATTGTGTGTATCAATATAGTTCCTTTTTTTAAATCTGCTGAATGGTATTTCATTGTACCATCATTTGTTTATCATTCATCTGCTGATGGACATTTGAGTTGTTTCTGGTTCGGGGCTACTAAAAAGTAAAGCTGCTGTGAATATTTGTGGACAAGTCTCTGTATGGACAAAGTCTTCCCTTTCTCTTGGGTACAGACTTAGGAATGGAAAATCTGGGTCATATGGTAGCTGTGTAGTTAATTTTTTAAGACACTGTCCAACTATTCTTCCCAAATAGTCCTACCACTTTACATCCGATCAGCAGGGAGTGAGAAAGAGTTCCAGTAACTCCTCCTCCCCAGCACGTGCTATGGTCACTCTTTCATTTTAGCCGTTCTAAAAGGTGTGCAGCAGTATTGCACTGTGGTTGTATTTCACTCGCATTTCTCTAATGACTAATAATGTCAAGCATCTTTTTATGTACTTATTTGCCATCTGTATATTTTTTTTGGTGAAGTCTGTTCAAATCTTTGGCCTTTTTTTTTTTTTTTTTTTTTTGCGGTCCGCGGGCCTCTCACTGTTGTGGTCTCTCCCGTTGCGGAGCACAGGCTCCGGACGCGCAGGCTCAGCGGTCATGGCTCACGGGCCCAGCCGTTCCGCGGCACACGGGATCTTCACGGACCGGGGCATGAACCCGTGTCCCCTGCATCGGCAGGCGGACTCTCAACCACTGCGCCACCAGGGAAGCCCGGCCCATTTTTTAAATTGACTTTTTACTTTCTAGTTATTAAGCTTTGAGATTTTTTATATTTTCCTGTTATCAGATATGTGATTTGCAAATATTTACTCCCAGTCTGAGGTGTGTCTTTTCATTCTCTTGACAGTGTCTTTTGAAGAGAAGAGGCTCTTAATTCTGATGAAACCTGACTTACAATTTTTTCTTTTATTAATTATGCTTTTGGTGTCTTATCTAGGAAATCGTTGCTAACCCGATGTCATAAAGATTTCCTCCTATGTTTTCTTCTAGAAATTTTGTTGCTTTAGGTTTCACAGTTTTAGATCTATGATCCATTTGGAATTAACTCTTGTATATGGTGAGAGGTATGAATTGAGGTTTATTTTAAAATATGCAAAAAGCATATGAATGTCCAATTGTCCCAGCACCATTTATTAAAAAGATTATCCTGGGCTTCCCTGGTGGCGCAGTGGTTGAGAGTCCGCCTGCCGATGCACGGGACACGGGTTCATGCCCTGGTCCGGGAAGATCCCACGTGCCACAGAGCGGCTGGGCCCGTGAGCCATGGCCGCTGAGCCTTTGTGTCCGGAGCCTGTGCTCCACAACGGGAGAGGCCACAACAGTGAGAGGCCCGCGTACCGCAAAAAAAAAAAAAAAAAAAGATTATCCTTTCTCCACTGAATTTTGTACCTTTGTCGAAAATCAGTTGACCAAGTATATGTGGGTTTATTTCTGGATGCAGAAATACTCTTTTTAAATTTTTTTATTGTGGTAAAATGTATAAAACAGAAAAGTTGCTCTTTTAACCATTTTTATGTATACAGTTAAGTGGCATTACATTCACAATGTTCAACCATCATCACTATTTTTTCCAAGATGAACATTTAAAAAATCTCACTTTCTTCTTGGAAAAAAACTTGGAAATTTTGAATTGCACTTCATCACACTCCCAGATTTGTTTTAATATAATGTTGATGCTTCAGAAAAATAAACCATATTTAGCCTGTAGCTTTGTGTGAATTCCACGGCATCCCTCCCTCCCTAGGTTGTGCAAACTCCAATTCGAGAATCTCAGAGGAAATCAGAATTTACAGAGACCTCCGAGGTCACCTAGAAGCGCCCCTTCGTTTTACAGATGCGAAAACTGAGAACCCAGATCACACGCTGGTAAGTGACAGAGCCAGCTGAGAAATAAGAAAGGCTATTTTTGTGCTGCTGAGGGTTTTGTACCAAATCCTGACCACCTCCCTCTCTGCGATCTGGCTTTGGTGAAATGAACTCTCCTCTCTGCCTCGGGGCAGAAAACTGAAGCAAGGCCACCTTCCTCAGAGATCTGACCTGAGAGTTTAACCAAGGGATAAAAATACTTCAAAGTCGACAACAGGGGGCGACCAGGGACAGAAAAGCACAGCTACTCGGGATTTCTAACCCCAAGAAAGGCGGCCACTGGGAAGAGAATGCTTAGAAAGATTTCTCATGGGTGGCAAGGACGACCCTGAAGCAATTCGTGCTCTCAGGAACCGTGGATTTTCAGAGCAAATAGAAAACTGTCCCACTAACGGACCTGGTTGACGAAAGCAGCCTCACTTCTCCTAATTCTTGACTATTGTTGTAGGGGGTTCCTTTCCCCCAAACACTGGGAATCCCCCAAACACTGGGATTTATTGTATGAAGTGGGGTTTCCTAGTATTCTTGGAAGTAGTTAGAAACCATTACCCAGTCAATCACCAGCCCTGCTCATAAATGCAAATTTTCTTAACGGGAAAAGCACAGGGCTTTCTTCATCAACAATTATAATAGCAATGGCTAACTCTCTGCAGAGGCCTACTATGATGCTGGGCATCATTCTAAGCACTTTTCATACTTATCAAGTCAGTGCAATGGGCACTATCTTACAGAAGAAGAAATGGAGGCACAGAGAGGTTAAATAAGTTGCCAGAGGCCACACAGCTCGCCTAGACCATCTGTGTCCAGAGGCCTTCACAACTGCAATACAGTCATCTCTGATCAAGACTATCATCTGAGAGATGCTCCCTTGACCTCTTCTAACCTGATTTATGGACCTGGTTGTGAAAGTTTGACAGCCCTGATGAGCAGAGCCGCTGAGCACGCTGGTGGCCGGTTGAAAAAGGGCGTGGAGGGAGGCTTGGCCTCCTGGTGGGCTCTGAGTCACACAGGTCAGGGAGGGCTGGCCCGCTCAGCCTGTCACCCTCAGCTGTCTCTCTGTGCTGCACACGGAGCCGGGGCTCAGAGATGGGAACTGCGATTTATAAGCTCTGGGGCAAAGTCAACTTTCAGGTGAAGAAAACCCACATACCCGGTAGGTTCCCCTTGCTTCTGACAGTCTGACAGCACCCAGGCTGCCAGGAGGATTGTCTCCACGTTGGTTCAGTTGTTTGTGCCTTTGATGTTACAGGAGGACCCAGCTGGCCTTTAGGGCTGAGGATAATAGCTTCAGTGGGGCCTGTTGTGTGGGTTTCTTGTCATCTGAGTTCATTTATAAGCCAGCTCACAAGTAAGCTTTATTTCTTGTAGGCCAATGTGCTTTAATGTTGCATGAGTTAAACAAAGAGTGGTGACAGCGAACCCCTGCAGCTTCTTTCTGTTACAGGACAGTTCAGGAGGTTTAATTTTCCATACCAGATGGAAGAGTAACTCCAGCATTATTTTGACCAGTTATAAATATCAAAGACATGTGTCTTGCTGGCCAGATTCTTCCTAAAAGGATTCAAGGACCTCCAGGCACTAGTCCTCAGTTCCCAAGTCTTTCTTGAGAAGCGAAAGAAATTGCATTCCGGCTTGCAGTGTAGATGGGGAATGGTGGGAAATGTCTGGTGATGGGGGGCACCTGTATAATCAGAGGAGGGGTATCTCCCACTTTTCCCTTGCCGGTGACTGAGAGATTACCCATCCTGAGGCTAGTAAAGGCCTCTGCAAGGTTAGGGGAGAGCAGGAGGTGGCTCACAGTGTGTGTGTGTGTGTGTGTGTGTGTGTGTGTGTCTGTCTGTGTGTCTGTGTCTGTGTGTGTGTGTACCCAGAGGGGAATTCTCTAGCTGGTTTTAAGCCATGAGCTGTCCTGTTTCTTGCCGTGAGCAGCAAGATGCCAGTCCTTATGCTAAGCTATGGAAAACATTGCCGGGGCTGTGTGTCTGCCACGTGACCGTTTGATTACTATTGTCTAGAGGTTCTTACAAAACCAATAAGCGGTTGTATTTCTAGAATAGCTTGCCTGGTCCTCAGGCAAAGTATTGCCATGTTTGATCATACCGAAGACACCATCAATCGTGATGTTTTATGAACCACTAGGAAAGGAGAATGCTGTCAATTATATGATATGCCATTCATTGTAAGACAGATGCTCATTTCAGAGATGTTTACATGTTAAAAAAAAGTGTCTTTCAGTATAGATGAAATTTGGTAGATAGCCTACCAAAGTTCCTTCTAGGCTTGTCAATCAGTGCTTCCTCATAAGAGTATTTCCATCCCATTAAAACTCCATTTACAAGAAGTGGATAAAGCTTTCCTGATGCTTGGGTTTTGCTTTCCCTTTTTTCAAGTAAGCTTTTCATAAAAGGAAACAGTGCGCCTGCAGTAGGCCTGACATTATAGTGAGAGAGAATAAAATTAATTATGAATGAGAAACAAAAATACATCAAAAGGGAAAATGTTTCCTAATGTCATTAGTGAATTTTCTCCTAGAATGGCTCATAGAATAGCTGACTAGCACACGGCTCTCTAATTTGATTTGCCTGTGTTGGGTTTATTACCACATAGACACATGTAAATAATTGTTATTATTTATGTCAATCTAGTTCTCAGATAAGGGAGAGCTGTGGAGCTTTCAAAAAAAAAAAGGATGGTGCACAACCTTGGAAGGGAAAACAATGGAATAAGGGATTGGGATGCATCCCTGCACTTTGCTCCACGCTTGTCTTACTTGGCTGCTCTATACCATGTGCCAGGGCTGACCCAGTTGTTTTCTTGAAACTTTCTCCTATCTCGACTTCCTTCCCCACGCTCTTGCTCCTTTCTCCTCTTGCGTCTCTATATTTTACTTCTCAGTCTTCTTCAAAGCATCCCTTCAATATCAGTGACCTTTCCTTATCCTAGTTCTCACTATAGTAGGAATAGCTGCCACTTTGTGTGAGCTCCTATTCTAGAACATTCTAGGACTTAACATGTTACATCATTTTAAGGCTCGCAGGAGCATGGTGAGACTCCATTATGCCCTCTGCTCACAGAGGG